CACACGAAACCCTCTCCTCACACGAAACCCTCTCCCCACATGAAACCCTCTCCCCACACGAAACCCTCTCCCCACAAAACCCTCTCCCTACACGAAACCCTCTCCCCACACAAAACCCTCTCCTCACATGAAACCCTCTCCCCAAGTGAAACCCTCTCCCTGCAGGGCACCCCCTCCCCGCGCCACGTGCCTCCTTGCTGCCTCTGCCCCTTGCACGGGGCTCCCATTGCTCTCCTCCCTCGGGGCCCAGGGCGCCGCTGGCTCACAGGCCACGGGGACACGCCGGCACTGCCAGCAGGACCGCGCAGCGCTGCCGCCTCCCCAGCCTCAGGGGCCCGGCTCCCTGCCTCCCGGCCGGCCGGCCCTGGCCTTTGGCCGCGCTGCTGCGGTGCTCTGTGTCCGCGGCGGCGCCCTGAGTGCCCAGGCTCAAGGCCAGAGGCCTGGCGGGCGGCCAGCGGCGGCCGGGGAAGCACAGAGGAGGGTTTGTGCGTGGCGCCGTGGGAGCGCGGCCCCCACTCCCTGCCTCGGTTTCCCCCACCGCCAGGCAAGAGCGCGGGGCGCTGGGGGGCCGTTGCGTCAGGGGGCCGGCTCCGCGCTGGACCTCGGCCCTGCTCTGCGTCCCGGCGAGCGCGGCTGGAGGGAGCGACGGCGCCGCAAGACGCGACGGGCCCGGAGCTGCTGCCCGCCAGCGGCCCGGCCGGCTGCAGCGCTCCCGGGAGAGCTGGAGCTCAAGCACAGAGCCGGCCATGGCCGCGATGCCGGTGAGCTGGGCACGAGCAGGCGCCTGAGGTCCCTTCCCTTGGTGCCAGCCCGGCCGAGCGTGCCTGCGGCCTCGCTCCATGGCACCGTTGTGCTTGTGGCGCTGGAGGAGGCCGCTGTGCGCCGGCCTCCTCCTCCTCTCGCTGCTGCTCGGCTGCCTGCTGCTCCTCGCCGCGGATGTACGCAAGCAGTGGCCGGCGGCCGGGAGCTTCCACCCGCTGCTGTGGGGGCAGCTCCCAGCGAGGGCCCATCTCGGAGCCAGGCAGGGGCTTGACTTCACCTTGCTGCTCACCGAGGCCGGGCCGCGCTGCGCCCGGGGACAAGTGCTGCTCATCCTGGTGACCTCGGCGGCGGGCAACGCCGAGGCCCGGCGCGCCATCAGGAGGACCTGGGCTGCCCAGGAGGGCCGGCCCGCGCACCCCTGGCAGGCGGTGTTCCTGGTGGGGCAGGCGGCCGAGGCGGCCGTGGCCTGGGCCGTGCAGAGGGAACAGCAGGAGTTCGGCGACGTGCTGGTGGGGAGCTACCAGGACACGTACCGCAACCTCACCCTGAAGGTCATGCACGGCTTGAAGTGGGCGTGCGAGCAGTGCCGGCCCCGCTACATCCTCAAGACGGACGACGACTGCTTCGTGAACACCGACCGCCTCCCGGCCTTCCTGGCCGAGCTCAACACCGTGAGCACGGGTCTCTACGTGGGCTCCCTCTTCTCCCGCGAGAAGCGACGGGTCATCCGCGAGCCCTCCAGCAAATGGTACGTGTCGCGCCAGGACTACCGCCCCGACGAGTACCCACCCTATGCCAGCGGCATCGGCTACGTCCTCTCGCTGGACGCGGCCGAGAAGATCCTGGAGGTGGCGCAGCGCGTCCGCCCCATCCCCGTGGAAGATGCCTACGTGGGCATCCTGGCGGAGGCGGCAGGGGTCCGCGCCAGGGCGAGCGCCCGCTTCACCAAGCACAACGTCGGGTGGCGTGTCTGCAACTACCGCTACCTCATGGTGATCCACCAGCTGCGGCCGCGCGAGCAGGAGGCGGCGCGGCGGAGCATGCTGCAGGCCCGCGGCGCCTGCCGCCACAGCCCCGAGCTCGCGCGCTGGAAGTGAGCGCCCGGCGCCGCGCAGGACCTCTGTGCATCGCCCCGGTGCCGTGGGCACCGCTGGACCCCGAGGCCGCATGCAGTCATGGCACGCACGTGCTCGGCAGTCTCCCTCGGGCTGCCCGTCTCCTTGCCCGGCCAGATCGCGGCAAGTGGCCAGGGCGGGAGATGCTCCAGCCGGTAGCACGAGTCGGGTAGGGGCTCAGGTCGTGCGCAGGGCAGACCCCAGATGGGCCCTGCTGTGGGTCGGTGCCCATGTGCCCAGGACACCCTCAGCACCAGAGGGTTGCAGGTCTGGCTGGGGACACTGCGGGGCTAAGCGCCCTATGGAAAGCACAGTGTCACCCTCTCCATGGGGGCTGCTGCTCCTCCCCGGACCACCCATTCCACAGAGAGCCATAGAGGCCAGGGTGGCCAAAGGTCTCAACTCCTTGCCAGCACCTTCCCCTCCCTCGGGCGATGCACAACCCCCTGCTTGCCCACTGCTGCCTCTCCATGTGCCCCAGCTACATAGCCCTTCTCGGACGTGGGGAGCGCTGCCGGCCCCCGGCTGAGCTGGGAGCGGTGGGTGAGCGTGGGCAAGCTCGGAGGAGGCACATCTGCCCTGTGGTTTGCAGCCTGGGGGTTTCTCTGGGGCTCTAAACAGCCCAGTTCCCCTTCTGCTCAACTCAAAAGTGATAAGGGGAATGTCCCCCCTGGGAGGGGGGAAGAGCTGTGCAAGTGCTGCTGCTGTTACAAAAGCTATTTTTAGTTTTATTAAAATCTGTCTCTTTTATAAATGCCCCAAATATCCAGGGTCTTTGCTACAAAGATTGGTGCAGCACCCACTTAGGGCAGTCAACCCCCCAGGGATGTGGGCTGGAACCCATCCAGGGTTCCCAGGGACACAAGGGGGGACAGGGGACAGCAGCGCTCACGGGGGTGCGAAGCCAGTGGCAGGGGACCCCAGAGGCTCCTCTTTGTGGCAGGGGGAGTCTTGGGGAGTGCCAGGGGAGCAGGGCACCCCCAGGAGCAGCGTGGGCCGGGGGCTGCCCCCGAAAAGGGGCACGCGGCTGATGTAGTGGTCGAGGGGGCTGGGGAGGGCGCCGGCGCGGGCGTGCGCCCGGAGCAGCAGTTCGTGCAGCGTCTCGCCCACCTGCACCAGGTTGTCGGAGATGACATGGAGGTGGGAGACAGTGTCGCTGGCCAGGCTCTCCAGCAGCACCTGCTGCTGCTGCGACGTCTGCAGGATCTGCACCAGGAGCTGCTGCACGCTCTGGAGCAGGGCCGCGACGCCGGCACCTGCAGCGAGACGGGGCGCGGGGTCAGCGGGCGGCAGTCCCAGGCAATGCCTCCAAGGCCCTGAGCCCCGTGCACGGCGGGGCTGATGGGGGTGAGGACGCACCTTGCAGGCCTGCGCCTGATGCCTCTTCGCTGGCTGCTGTCTGCTCACTCATAGCAGCTCTTCTGGGGGAGCCTGAGGCTCTGGTAGCCACCGGCAGGTTCCCTGCTCCCATCGCCAGGGATGTTTCGCCAGGGCAACCTGCCAGGAGAGATTGGCTTGGAAAGAGCACAAGGCGCACCGAGCCCACCACGCATTGTGCCCATGCTGACATCCCTGATGCCAGGGTTGCCTCCAGGAGGTGCGTGCCCACATCTCCACGGGCAGGCAGCCCAGAGCTGCCCCCCAAGCAAACTGACCCTGCTGCACCGTGCAAGAAGCGAATGCAGACTCTTACCAGCCTTTCCTTCAGCAATTTCCTGCTTCAGGGCTGGGCAGGCGGTGTGGAAGCCTGGAAGGAGAGCAGCACATGAGTGGGCACCACCACCTCCTGCCGGCGCAGGGTCAGGCACCGTACTCACCAAGATGGGGCAGGGGAGCGAACGGGTGCCCAGCGTCTGCAACGAGAATCGTGTGAGAACCACCGGCACCACAGCCCTCTGCCCACGGGGCTGAGGAAGATTACAGGGCCAAGCGGGGCAAAAAAAGCCTTACGTGCTGCGGGAGAGGCTCCAGCAACCTGGTCCAGGCGCGCTGCTGGGAGAGAGCAGAGGAGAGATGCTTGCTCTGCTGGCACCTGGGTGGGAACCCATCCAGCCCAGGGCCTGCCTTGCCTGCCACGGCCAGCCCCGCAGCCCGACATGCCCTAGCCACAGCTCCACAGCGCCCTGCCGGCCCTCAAAGCGTTTTACAAGCTAGATACAAAAGCAGGAGTCACTCACCCACCACTGCAATGCAGCCACCTCTGGGGTGGAAGGCGGCAGCTGTTTAGCAGCGCACAGCAACGCTACACAACAGATTGGGACAGGAGTGAAGGAGAATCCCACATCCACTTGAAACTGCAGGGGGAATTTATGGAGACAGAACGTAATTATCCAGTACGGAGACTGGCCAGGATGCCGGCGGTCACTCCCTGGTGCTAGCAAGGGGGGATGCACAGGGGTGTGAAGCAGGCAGTGCTTTCCCAAAGGCTCCTGCAGTGCAGTGCCCGGGGATGCAGACCAGCCAGGGATCTAACCCTTCTGATCCTGCTTGCTCATGTTTGCAGGGGAGACGTTTAACCTGTTTCTGCCCTAACTCTGGCCGGCTAGCGAGCAGGTTTGTGGGACGAGCAACCGCTTCCTTCTCCTGCCTAGACAAATCGGCCCCAGGACGTACCCTGGACCCCCTTGGTGACAAATCCCCAAGCACTGTGTAGGTGTGCAGGCAGCGAGGCAGCGCAGGACCTGTGCCCACGTATGCGGCAGGGCAGCTCCGGGACACGCACTCTGGGCTCCGGCGCTCGGACCCTCGCCAAACTAAGTTTTATCATGTCGCCGGGGAGCAGAGGGGAGCCAGGACGTGCTAAAGAGGAGCTACATGCCTGCGTTGCCACACAGCCAGAAGAGCCCCCTGCACCTGATCAGGGCCGCTGTCCCTAAGAGGCCTTGAGCCCTATCACCTGCCCCCGCAAGCCAGCGATTTTCCCTGTACCCAAGTCTGGGTCAGAACTGTGGACTCGTCCTTCTCCATCCCACGCTTCCCCATCCCTTCACACCCTGGGGCTGGTTCAGAGCCAAAGCCTCTGGAGGGAGAACCCCCATCATCCCCATTCCATGCGCAGGAGCATCCCTGCCTTGGGACCACAGTGCAGCTGGTCCCTCCTGGCAGAAAAGCCCCTCGCTCCTCAGGCCCCTCAGGTTCCTGGCATGCTGGAGCGGGCTTGGGCTGGAGTCGTGGCCATGCAGCCCAGCGCGGCAGGGCAGACCTGTACTTACGGCTCAGGGGCTCGTCCTTCGCGCTCTGCGACGGTGCCGTGCCCAGGGTGTCCGTGCAGGTGATGAGCTCTGCAGAGGGGACAGCAAGGGAGGTGCCACGGGAAGAAGAGCCCTTCAGTAGCAGAGACAAAGGGTCCCAACCACCCTTGGATACAGGAGCCCTGGACACAGCCCCACAGGGAGCAGTCATGCACCTGAACCCGGGAGCACAACCAGCTGCTGCCCACCACAAGGCAGCAATCAACAAGGGGAACCAGAAATGCAACATCCCAGGGAGGGACATAACTGCCCATGCCCTTCATTCCAGGCCTTCAAAGCCATGTGAGCTCCTACCAGCCCCTCTGCAAATCAAACCTCACCCCTCAGCCGGGACCCACTTCAGCCACCCCAGCCTGCGGGTACCTTGCTGCTCGGGAGAGGATGGAGCGTGGTCCTCGAGGGGCGTCCCGCGCTTCCTGGGAGGCAACTTCACCCGGTCTGGGAAGAGAGGAAGGGATCAGGCAGGGAGGAGGAAGGGGCACCAAGCCAGCTGCAGGGATCAAGCTCCCAGCGAGCAGCATCACAAGGGCTGGGCATGCAGAGATGCTGCCAAGCAACCCCCCACCCCTGGCACGGCTGCACCGAAAGGCTCCAAAAGGCTCCCCGGGACTCACCTGGCAGCCGCCTCTCACCAAAGACGGGCCGCCCGGCCGCCTTCCAGATGGTCTTCATGGCGCGGTAGTGCGGGGGCACGCGCGGCGAGTGCCGCCCGGCCTGCCGGCGCGTCTCGCGCTCCGAGTAGAAGGCCTGCTTGAGCGCCTTCCACTTGGAGCGGCACTGGGTCACGCTGCGGCTGTAGCCGGCCGCCGCCAGCCCCCGCGAGATGTCCCGCCACAGCGCCTCGTTGGGCCGCGACGTGGAGGCCATGAGCAGGGCCACCTCCCCGCAGGCGCCCACGAGCGCCAGAAGGCAGCGGATCTCCGCCTGCGTCCACGCGCGACCGCGGGGCATGGGGCCGGCGCCCCGGCGCGCACGGCAGCGCGGCCCGGCGGCGTCGGGGCGGCCGCGGCGGGAGAACCGCGCCGGGAGCAGCCGCTCCAGCTCCGGGAGCTGCTCCAGGAGCCGCCGCTCCAGAGCCGGGAGCTGCGTCGGGAGCCGCCGCTCCGCTGCGCGCCGGGAGCCGCGCCGGGATCCGCCGCTCCGCTCCGCGCCGCGCCGGGAGCCGCGCCGGGCGCACGGAGCATGTGCGACCCGCAGCCCCGGCGGGAGCCGCTGGGAAACGTAGTCCCGGGAGCCGCTGCCCCTGCCCCGCTCCGCTGCCCGGCCCTCGGCGGAGCGCGTCCCTGGGGGGAGCCTCGGGAGACCCCCCGGGCACAAGCAGGGTACAGGGGGAGGGAGAGCAGAGCAGCCCGCAGGTATTTTGGGAAAGGAGCAGGAGGCCATGGGCTTTCCAGAGCTCATGCAGCTGCAGCCCCATGCAAAAAGGCAGCAGAAACCGCACCTGAGCAAGTGCTGCTGCTGCCTTACTGCTTCAGAGCACCCGAGTCTGGGGGCGAGGATGGGGCCCCGTGCCCGGCTCCCTAAGGTAACACAGAGCCCCCCAGTCCCTGCAATAGACCCAAAGAGCAGAGCACATGAAGAGCCAGGATGTGGCAGTCCACAGCCTCCGACCTGCCGTGGGCCAGCAAGGAGGCCAGGGAGGAGCAGAGCGGTGCCGTTTGATGCCCCGTGAGGCTGGGGGCCGGGCTGACAAGGGGATCCTGCGCCAGACCCAACCTGCGCAGTGGCGGAGCGGTGAGTGCCACACAAGCAGCGCTGCTGGGTTCCCTCATGCTGGGAACTCCTGGGACGTGGCCTTGCCCGGGGCTTACCCAGGCTGCGGCCTCGGGGGTGTCTCTGCGGATGCTGCCAGGAAGTGAGACTTTCCATTTCGTGTAACTCCCAGCTAAGGAGGGTGCAGGGAGGGCTGTGCTGCCTCGCTGATGAAGGGCGTCATGAGAGCCCGGGAGATGGAAGAGAGGGTCACGTACGCTGACCTGCGCTTCACCCCTGCACAAGGTAATGGTGACCCCGTCCCGCTCGGCCCCGTTGCACCTCCAGCTCTCCTGCCACTTCCCCTTGCCCTCCCGCAGTCACTGCAGGGGACATGGTCTGGAGGAGACCCATGCCTGCAGAGCCTGGGTCTCCTGGGCTCTCCCACAGAGCCCTGGGTACCCAGGTTCTCTCTCTCAGCTCCTCCGCAGATGAAGCCGCTGCCCTGGCGCTGTGCAGCCCTCAGCCTGGCTCTCCTTTTCCTGCTGCTCCTGCTGGTGCAGACCGTCCTCGTTGGCTTGAGCTTCCACCGTGAGTACCTGCTTCTGTCCCATCACCATTGAGTGAGCCTGAGCCTGCCCCGTGAGCTCTGCGTGCAGAGCTGGGCCTTTCTCTGGAGCTGAAGGGGCTTTGAGCTTCAGGGCTCCGGGACAAGGAGTGGGGCTGGTGAGGGGAGGAGCGGATGCCAGACCTGCCTGCCTGGAGCGTCCATGGCATGGGCGAGTGGAAGGCAGGGAGGAAAGCGTGGGCTCAGGAAGGGCCCTGGGGCATCCCGCTCCGTCACCTGCCGAGGAGGTGAAGACAGACCCGAGAACCAAGAGACTGAAACTGAGAGAAAGAGGCACTTTCTGTGAGAGTCTGTCATATGATGGGCACCGAAGCACAGCGGGAGCTACAAGGGCGTCAGGTTTCTCTGCCCTGAAGCGGGGGAAGCCTTTTGCTGCAGACTGGACATGGCTCCAGCGTGTTCCTGGTCATGGGAGTGAGCCCTGGGTGCTGCTGGCAGCCAAAGCCCGGGATGGGGCCTGCAGGCACACTCCTGTGCTCCTACTCTGTAGTTCTAGGGCAACTGTCGGGCTGCAGCTATGATCCCTGGAGCACAGAGGAGACCCTCAGCTATGGGCAACAGACTCTGCAAGGTAGGAGAGCGTGGTAGGCTTGTGGGCAGGGTTTGGAGGGGATCTGGCAAGCCCTTGCAAGGGGCAGGATCTTGTTCTTCTCCCTGCTGGAGGCAGGGGCCTCCTCCAGACCATGTCCCTACCCTGGGGTCCTGCATCCTTGCTCATGGCCTGGAGAGCTGCCCCAGAGATACCCAGGCCTGCTCAGCTTTGCCTGGACACGTCATGAGCAGCAGAGTTGCAGGGTCATTGCTACTGCTGCGTGTATCTGTGAGCTAGACAGTGTCAGATGTTCTCTTTAGACTGGCCCTGGGAAAGCTGAAATCCTGGTTGTATTTCCAGCACTTTGGAAATATAGAGGACCCTCGTATTGCTCCACTGAACCTCGATCTCCTTTCCCAGAACCACCTCCCTGCCAGCCTCTTCATGCAACTAACCCACCTCCCTTGGGCTGCCAGCAGAGTCCCATGGGACTGGGGATGGGATATAGGAGAAGAGGAAGACACAAGTGTAGGGTCTTCTCCATGGGGCAGCTGCAGGATTGGGCCACGGCTCTCTGCGGCATGAGCACCATGCCCGGGCTGTGAGCTGGTGGGTGTCCCTGGGGGCTCTCCTGTCCCTGCTGCTCCTGGAGCTGCGAGCAGGCTGCGTTTCTGCTGGCGTGCAGGACAATGCCAGTTCTGCCCGGCCGGCTGGATATGGGATGCAGGGCACTGCTACTACTTCTCCTCTGCCAAGAAGACCTGGGAGCAGAGCAAAGAGGACTGCTGCTCCAGAGAGGCTCATCTGGCCACCGTCCGAACCAACAGCACCCTGGTGAGTGCTCCCTGCTGACCCGCATCTCCATGCAGCTCCAGATGCCCTGCCCAGCTGCCGTGGGTTCCCAAGTGCAGCACGACCACTCCTCCAAGTGGGCACAACGCGCCTGTGCCCGTGTCCCGGCGTGCAGCTGTCTGAGCTCGTGGTAGGGCTGTGATGTCCCCATGCTGACAGCAGCGTGCTGGCCCTTCGGGGTGCTGCTGCTCACCTCCTTGTGTGCCAGGTGTTCCTGGCACGCGTGTCCGGTATGGATGTGTTCTATGTGGGGCTCAAGCGTGACGGCCTCCGGGCTGACTGGAAGTGGCTGGACGGCACCAGGCTGAAAGGGTGAGGCCTCCAGGTTGCCCCCTGGCCAGGGTTGCTCCGTATCCCGTGCCATCCCTGGGCCCGGGGAGGTGACTGGGGGACAGGGACCAGGCAGGCAGGGATGCCCCTCCTGGCTTGGCCACCTACTCCTTTCCAGGGCTGCCCAGAGTATTTTAGGGGAGGGAAGAAGCCAGCCTTCATACTCTGGGGACTAACGACGTCTATATGAGGGGATATCCCCAAGCTTGAGGCTCTGAGAGCTCTCCTGGGTGCATGTGATGCTGAGCCCTATCAGGATGGGCCCAGGATGCTGCATGCAAGATGGGAAGGGATAGGGTGGGAAGAGATCGGGACGGTAGCCTGATCAGGGAAGGATGGCAGAGGGGCACTGCCCCATCATGGGGATTAGCTTTGCCCCCACGGTGTCTCTGCATAGTGTCCCGGCCTTTGGCAGAGGAGGAGGTGTTGACCTACCCGCACCCCTCACCCCGCTCTCTCCATGCAGGCTCTTCCCAGTCCAGCGTGTCACCAGCTCTTTCCTGGCCTGCGGGAGGGTGTCGGGCTCGGGGCTGTCGAGCGGCCCGTGCGGGGAGGCGCACGGCTGGGTGTGCGAGACGCGGGCGCTCCCGCTGCAGCGGCTGCCGTCCTCACCCGCCGCCTTTCTCTGGGGGAACACCACCTACACCTGCGTGAAGCCCTGGTGACCTGGGCCCCAGCAGGGACCTCCAGCCTGGCCCCCGGGGTGGCACCGGACCCTGCCGCTGCTCTCACACGCTGCCGCACCTGACCTGGCATCCCAGACCGCAGTCTCCTTAGCGCAGAGCTCCTCTCTCCCCGCAGCGCAGATCCGTGCACGGTGGCAATAAACTCTGGCATGTGGATGTTGTAGCTGTCTTTGGGGGAGGACACTGTAGGGAGGGCAGTGCTGTCACCGTGGAGCTGTGACACCCGCTGCCAGAGGGTTCTATGTCCCAGGGAAGGCAGCTGAGAGGTGCAGCTCTGCAGGTCCTTTGCTTCCCTGATCCTAGCAGAGGGTTTGGGCTGCACAGCAGTTCGTGTCCCGGTGCCCACACAGACTGTGAAGGTCACAGCGAATGTGCTCGCTTCTCTTCTTGATGGAGTGTGTGAGCCTGAGAGCCCTGCTCGGTACTGAGGGGTGCCATTGGTTTGATCTGGCCATCTGGGTCATGTCAGCAGCACGTGGCTCTCGTAGGGGCATCCCTGGGTGTCCCTGCTGCTGTTTGCCTGGCTCTTGCCCCGGTGGCCAGTAGCATAGGGACTGTGAAGAGCAGAGGAAGCCTGGTTCCTGCAGCAGGCAGGCGAGCAAGTGCAGGAAGGGAGCAGGACCCAGACCAGTTGGGGACAGCTGCCTTTCCTGCAGAGCCACCCCACGCACCACTTCGCCTTGCTCCTGCAAATGATGCTGGTTATGATGCTGGTTCGTCCTCTCCTCTGGTCTCACAAATGAACACCCCTTTTCTTGCACTGCCTCTCACCAAGCCTTCTTGGTCCCTTTGTGGGTGTCCTCGTTGTGTCACCCAAGCTATGATGAGCCAGGAACCCATCTGCGGTCTCGCCTCCAAGAAAGGCTGCTGCGCGGTGGCCTTGCGGCCGAGGACTCTTTCCACGGTCACTGACTTAAGAGAGACCATAGGAAAGTGCAGACTCAAGGTGTAGCATGACCACAGTGTGTATTTATTACTCACTCATGGGTTAATCTAGCCTAATTCTCTTCCCTTCACATGTTCCTTTCAAGCATACCCTTCATACCTGGTTGTTGTCCTGTGTGCAGGACATAGAGCAGCATCCATTTTCACACAAACTGATGTTGATCTTCTCTAGTTTCCTCACTGTTCTTCCTGGTGACAGCATAAAGCAATCACAAGCCTAAGGGTCTTTCATCCAATTTTCCTGTTTCTCCCTTCTCACCACCTTTGTCCTGAGGTTCTGCCACACAAAGGGTTTCCACAGCGGAATTTCATTCCTTATTGCTCCTGTCACACCACTCTGGAGCATGAGGTTGTAGGTACCCCAGCAGATGGTCAACTGATGTGTGCTGTGGTGAAAGGCACTGGAGGCTGGAGACACTGCACACATGGACCTCCTGTGGCCAGTAAGCACGGGGGCCAGGGTCTCCTGGTAGACCATGAGAGCAGATGACATCCTTCTGCACTGCACCATAGAGTTGGGACCCTGTAGGGAGCAGAGCCCAGGATGCAGAATCAGTAGACCCCTGTATAGCAACAGCTGCCCAAAAGAAATCTCTATTTTACATGATCTTTTCTCATATCTAACTTCTGCTTTTCTACAGAAGTGGCTCCACCCCAAACACTACAGACCTGTCACCAGATCGCAGCAGAGCAGACAAGTAGGAAGCTCCTGATCTTGGGCAGCTCGGGGCACAGCTCCTGGCCAGATGGCGCAGAGCGTGGTTTACGCTGACCTGAGGTTCGCCCAGGTGCCCACGGGACGCAGCTCGCCCTGCCAGGTCTTGGAGACAGGTGAGAGCTGCGGTGCCGGCGGTGCCCGACGGCCGCGGCCCTCGCGGACTCACGCTCCCGCCGCTGCCCGCAGCGCTGTGCGAGGACGAGGCGGACAGCCCCTATGAGAACGTGCAGCCGGGGAAGGCGCCCGCGGGGCCAGGGACGCAGGGGGCCCAGCCCGCACCAGGTGAGCGCCCGCTGGAGCTGGGACACCCGGCGTGGGGAGAAGGGGGATGGAGACAGGGGCTGCCGAAGGACGGGGACGTGGGGACGGCGCTCGCTGGCAGCGTGTGGGGCGCTGGGTGCCCGGGGCAGCACCCGCAGGGCCGGCGGGACGGCCGGGCGCGGGCGGCAGCCCTCGCACGTCGCCGTTGCGGATGGCAGCACTTCCCCACTGCGTCAGCAGGTGCCGCGGGCCCCGCGTCCCCGGGGAGCCGCGCACGGGGCCACGTCCTGTCCGGGGCGCACGCGGCCCCGCCGGGTCCCTCCGAGGCCGATCCAGCATGGCGGGTGTCTTGCAGGGCCCTGGTACCAGCGCCGCTCCGTCCCCGCGGGGCTGCTGGGCGCCTGCCTGCTGCTGCTGGCCACGCTGCTCACCCTGGGGCTGTGCTGTGAGTGGGGGCGGCTGCGGCCGCGCGGGGCCACGGGCGGTGGGTGGCAGGTGGCGGGGAGGAGGAAGGGGGTGCCGGGAGGCGGGAAGGCGCCCGTGTGGGGGCTCCCTTGGCTGTGGCCACGCTGGGGTCCCTTGGGACACTGAGGCCAGCGGTGCCCGGGCGCCCCGTCCCACGGCTCCCCGCTGGTGCCCAGACTGGCAGGTGACCCGCCGGCAGCAGGAGGCCTCCCACGCACACGCGGCCGAGCGCGGGCGCCTCTCGGAGCAGGTGAGTGTGCGGGAGCAGAGCCTGGAGCAGACGCAGCTGGAGCTGGAGCGGACACAGCTGGAGCTGCAGCAGACAAGGCTGGGGATGAAGCAGACGCAGCTGGAGCTGCAGCAGACGCAGCTGGAGTTGGAGCAGATGGACCTGGAGCTGGTGCGGGCGCGAGAGGAGCTGCAGCACGCCTGGCTCGAGGGCAACAGCAGCCGCCGGGAGCTGGGGCACCGCAACGCCGAGCTGGAGCGCGTCTCGGGGGCCCTGGGCATGGTGGAGAAGGAGCTGCAGGACGTGCAGGGCAAGCTCAACGCCAGCGAGAGCACCGTGAGCAGCCTGCACACCTGTATGCAAACAGGTAGGGCTGTGGCACGTGGGCATGGGGACAAGAGCAGCTGGGAGGTGCCGGGGCCGTTCCGGTGCCTGATCGCTGCCCCTGTCCCCAGAATGCTGCCCCTCGGGCTGGGTGCTATTCAAAGGCAAGTGCCTCTTCATCTCATTGGAGAAGAAGACCTGGCGGGAAAGCAAAACTGCCTGTGAATGGAAAAGCGCTCTGCTCCTAATGCAAGAGCCCTGGGAGTCCTGGGAACTGCCGGTACGGATGGAGGGGGGCCATGGCCACCGCGGCGGGTGGTGGCGAGTGCCAGGGCCACACAGAGCCCTGGGCGCTCGAGGCAGCAGCAGCCACGGTGCCAGGGAACCATGGTACCATGGTCATGCTGCTGCCGCCAGCCCCGGCTCCCCATCCCAGCTGGCGGCAGGGCAGGAGCAGGGCTGCTCCCCGCTCCTCCTGGCCAGCATCTTCTCTCCCTGCAGCATTTCATGACAGCGAAGAATGCCGAGTACTGGGTTGGAGGGATATATTATTCCTTGAGAAATCCTGTTGTGTGGCTGAACAAGCACTCACCTAAACAGTAAGCTGAGCCGTCCCGTGTGCTCAGAGCTCCCCTGGAGCTGCTGTGCCCTCCTTGGCCTGAGATGCCCGTTGCGGTTGCTGGCAATGGGGCCAGTGCCAGGCTGCTGGTGACGCTCCAGGCTTCCCCGGCAGACTGTGGGTGCTGCCATTGGCACCAGCTGTGGGAGCAGCACCACAGGACTGGGGCAGGGTGGGAGCAAGGCCGGCTGTCCTGCACCTCTGACCTGCCCCTTCCCTTCTAGGTTGACCAATTTAATTTGGTGTGGACTAGCAGACTCTGGGAAAATATGGGCATCCTATTGCTCGGACAAATACCCATGGGTCTGTGAGAAGGCCCCAGTGCTGAGTCGCACCTTTGACACGTTGCTTCCTTCTTTGGCCAAGGGATGATTGTGAGTCCCCTGCCTCTTCTCAGGACATGTGGACAGGATCTCTGGCTGCACTGAAGACCTCCTGTTGTCCTGCAATTCAAGCATCCACCTTGCACCCTGCCTCAACCCTCTAAGGGGCAGTTTGGGAAAGAATCTGTATTTTAAAGCAAGGCTTTTGGAAAACGATTTTTATTTTCCTCTCTCACATTCATGTCCGCTCTTATATCCTCGAGAAGCTGCCTTCATCCGCCCAGAAGTGTGTGCTAGCACATCCTGGCCAGCAGAGCTTGTAGTTCCCTGGAGTGGGGGAAACCGGTATTGAGCCCTGCCCACAACTGCTGAGATTGTCGACTGCATGCGGTTGCAATGTGCCTTTTGCATCTTTTTGCAGCGGTGAATGATGGTGACCTTTGGGTGCCCAACTGTCCCCTTCTGGGAGCACTCTGTACTACTACCTGTATGCCCCACACCTCCTGCACTGGCTCTTGGCAGCTCTTGTCCTGCCGTTTCCCCTCCCATCTTCACCTCTCATGGCCTCAGCCTGCCACTTGGTAAAGGCTGAGCCTTGTTGTCCACCTCTGTGTCCCCAGAGAAGCTGCGGGCAGCAGTGCCATAAACATGTGGCACTGCTTCTCCTGGTGCCATCTCTACTGCCCTCCACGGCTCACAGAATCACAGAATATTCAAGGTTGGAAGGGACCTCTACAGATCATCTAGTCCAACCTTCCTGCTCAAGCAGGGACACCCAGAGCATGTGGCACAGGGCGGCATCCAGGCGGGTTTTGAAGACCTCCAGAGAAGGAGACTCCACAACCTCCCTGGGCAGCCTGTTCCACTGCTCTGTCACCCTCACAGTAAAGAAGTTCCTCCTCACCTGGACATAGAACTTCCTGTGCTCCAGCTTATGGCCATTACCCCTTGCCCTATCGCTGGCTACCAGTGAGAAGAGCTTGGCCCCTTCCTCCCTACTTCCTGAACTCACACATGTTAATCATATCCCCTCTCAGCCGTCTCTTCTCCAACAGGCCCAACTCACTCAGTCTCTCCTCATATGAGAGATGTTCCATTCCCTTAATCATCTTGGTTGCTCTCTGCTGGACCCTCTCTAGGAGCTCCATGTCCCTCCTATACTGGGGTGCCCAGAACTGCACACAGTACTCCAGGTGCGGCCTCACCAGAGCTGAGTAGAGGGGCAGAATCACCTCCCTTGACC